CAAACTAAAATGACTCAATGCTCAGCTGCTGTGAGGAACCCACATGATTCATGGCTGGATTCGCAGCAGAAAGCAGCAGGTCAAGAGTTTCAGAAGTGTGGATAACGGGATCAAGCTGGATCTGTCCCAGTCCATTGTCTACACACTCCAGCAGACTCACCACTGCATCACTGCCAATAGTCAGCTCCCTTCCAGAGGCTTGTTGGCAATGTAGCTTCTGATGATGTCACACCAGGGTACGCAACTGTGTGACCTGTCAACATGGCCTTAGATCTATCTATGTCATTGTAGAGTCAGGTGGACTCTGGTGCCTGGAGTCAGCTTCAACTGGTCCACCGCATATTATTATTATTGTAGGATGAACTAACAATCCTTGCATGCACATTTGGGACAAGTCACATGGGCACAGCCATTTGAACTCACAAAAGCTTTAAAAGTAAGGGACATCCTTTTGTCTCTTGTTGATTCGGTCTTTACCTTACTCTGCATGGAGTGACCATCTTCCACGCTTTTGGGCAATGTAACTTTGCATGCCACGAGGCCTGCTTGGGCCTCATGTTCTGCAACCAAGTTTTTACCTGTGTGGTTTTCTATTCGCTCATGTGTCTGTGAGTAAACTTATTACATCATTCATCTGATGTGGAATTTTCTTTGTGTTCTGGCATTCTGATTGTGTATTTCCAATGCATGCTTTTCATGGGGTGTCGATGATCAGTAATAAGAGAAAGCTTTCAACTCTGCCTGTATTATGTCCCATACTTGCTCAGCCTCCCGCTGTGTGCATGTGTTTTTTGGTTTTTAAATCTCTGCTTTAGGAAGGTCATCTATTTCAAATGACTTAGTTCTTTGCTCCAGTCCAGCGACTGAGCCCTTCCATGTCTTAAGCATCTGCATAATACATTATTATTATTATTATTATTATTATTATTATTATTATTATTTATACCCCACTTTTTCTCCCCAGAAGGAGACTCAAAGCGGCTTTTCAATTACATCACTGCAATGTACTCTACAGAGGATTGCCCTTGAAGATGTAAAATGTACTATAAACAGCCAACCAGAACACCATATAGAAACTACATAACACTGGAATTAAGGACTGGCTGTCAATACTTGTTCAAATATCCAAGATAGACTTGGTAACAGGATTTATGAGCTGATTGTGGTGATAATTCTGTTCCTACTGCTGAATGCAAGAGTGGTGAAAGGGAAAGCAACAGCTAATTGAGACTTCTAATTATTATTATCTTTATTTTTATCCCACGTTTCTCCTCAAGGTAGCTAACAATGATATGATGCAATACAACAGAATTTTAAAAGAAGGACAAATACATCTACATACTAGTATGAAAATTAAAAACAATTAAATATTTATGTAATGAGTGCGAAAGTTAAAATACAATCAAATGCAATACAATAAAATTACATTGAAAAACTAACGTGCTTTTAAGCGGTTTTAAACTGCTGCAGTGAGTATGTGCTCTGTTGTTGGGTAGGATTGTCCTCCCCGCCTCCAAAATGGCATCTCAGCACACAGATAGTGGAGTGTTAGTCATAATTTTTTATGCCTCTCTTACCTGGAATAGTAACATGCCATACAAGCACAGGGTGCAAGAAGCATGCTATTGAAAGTAGCACATATGCTAGGAACTTCTGGAATGCTCCACGGCGTCTGGCTTGCTTCCAGCAAGTGTACTTCATGGATCCTATCTTCGGGCTGAAGTGAAAATTGGAGATTGTAACTAAGAGTAGAGTAGGTAAAACAAATTGTGTGGTGCTTCCTCACTTACTCAACTTCAAGGTGATTGCAGAATTCAATACCATGCCAACCCCAAAATACTTCCATGAAAGGTGTGGGATGGAGATTAGAACTTACGTAGAACCGATGGCCAAGAACAGACTGGCAAAGTATGCTGCTTCGCACACTGAAACGGCGATCCCTGAAATACTGAAGAAGAGGAACTCATTAAAGTATGAGAAATGGGTAGCAAAAACAATTCTCACACCACTGACATGCTGAACTGGGAAGGGAGCATCATTTGCTGCCATGATTGAGGGCCCTCCCGGACAGGTCCTATATCCCAGGATCTGATCCTAGGTTTTCTTCTTTAAACTGGATTATATGAGTCTGCACTGCCACAGCACAGAAAACCTGGGATCAGATCCTGGAATATAGGGCCTGTCTGAAAGGGCCCTTAATTATTTATTTGATATGACCACTGCCATAGACTCTGCAGATACATAATGCAAAAAGAGTTTGATGTCTCCATTGGTCTAATAGGACGGAGCAAAGTGCGAAGCAGTAGTCAAATAGTGTAGCTAAGGAAACAAGGAAATCAGGATGACATGAGCTGATTAAACCTGATTGTTTTACTTCACAATTTGTTTGATTTCACTTCTGTAGGGAGAACTTTCCTGATACAACAGAATGCATGAAGTTTCATCCATCTGGCGTGAGGAATAAAGACAATTGTTTGTACACTTTTTAAAATAAATAAATAAAAATACTTCACTTTTTGTTAGTCTTCTTTTTTCTAATTCATTCCTCTTCCTTAGCCCTCATTGATGAAAGAGTAGCTGGTTTGTAATATATTACTAGCATTTTACTTTTTTAAATCAATTTTCTATTTAAAAAAAGGAACAATATTGAAAATTAAGTACTATGACCATTTTTCCCTACAAAGCAACATTTTAGGAAGAATGAAGAATAAACAATGCACCACACTAATTGCAAAAGCTATTCGTTTGTTAAATATAATAAAATCAATATTAATTTTGGGAAATGATCTTTATTTTATTTTTGCAATAGAATGTTATTATGACCTTGCTACTCCTCTCTAAAGAGCTATGTGACATATACTTGTTGTTAGTAGTAAATTACTACTAACAACAAGGCTACTCCCTAAATTCTTAATGATAAATCTAATGAGCCCCTATCAGTAGCCTCTGATAACAACTTGGCTGTGTATCATGAAGGAGTGTCCTTGAAGTCAAATGAAACAGATCCGTCATTACCGAGATAAAACAACACACAGAACAAACAATTTCCCCAGACCTTGTAATGAACCAATGTGTTTTTTAAAGTCCACACTGTTGTTTCTATTTTTGAATGGCTCGAAAAAAATTGTGGGACAGTCGGAGCTTCCTAAACTTGCTGTTGACCATTTCAGTCTAAAAAATATACACTTTAAAGAAAGTTCGGGTAAAAATAACAGCAGGTGGACCAGAGAGGAGGAGAATATGGGTAAAGCTAAAGAAGAACCAACCATTGTGCCAAAATACAACCTGAAGAGCATCTCTGCAGAATTTAAAAATAATACCTATACATTACGCTATTAAGCATAATGTATAGGTAGCCAGAAGAACTCTGGACTGAAGCCAGGAACATTGAGAGGGAGAATGCAAAGATACTACTAGGAGAGAGAGAGAGAGAGAGAGAGAGAGAGAGAGAGAAGCCTCTGGGRGTTGGTGCTCATCTCCATTTCTAAGCCGAAGAGCCGGCGCTGTCCATAGACACCTYCAAGGTCATGTGGCCGGCATGGCTGCATGGAGCGCCGTTACCTTCCTGCCAGAGCTGTACCTATTGATCTACTCACATTTGCATGTTTTCAAACTGCTAGGTTGGCAGAAGCTGGGACTGACAGCGGACCCTCCCCGGATTCGAACCTGCGACCTTTTGGTCAAYAAGCTCAGCAGCTCAGCGCTTTAACACACTGCGCCACTGGGGGCTCCAAAGGTCAGGAGTACTATGCTCCAAAACTTTGCCAGTCTGAAATTGGAAGTCACAGAGTAGTTTGACGTGTGCATTTTCTGCAACTTTTCAGGTTTCTTCTTCTTCTTCTTCTTCTTCTTCTTCTTCTTCTTCTTATTATTATTATTATTATTATTATTATTATTATTATTATTAATTCAGGCCTAGTTCTATAAAGTTAGGGACCTGGAAAAAGTGAATTACAGTATGTGTGTCTCTTGCATGTACGAATGCGCATGCCCTTAATAATCTGGAAAGTATCCAAATTCACTTTCTCCTGCCTCCAAATTTAACAGGAATACTTACATTAAGTAGACAGCCAGGCTCTTAAACTTCCCCTGAAGAAGCGTGTCTGTACCCACAGCAATGAGCACTGAAACAAGAAAGAAATCCAAATAAATGTCTGTATAATGACAGCCAGAGCAACAGCCTTCTGAATTTAGATAGTGTGCTTTAAATAATTGATTATTGATTATTACATCATGCCATTTCTCTGTTTCCAGTACTTTTTTACCAGATAGACTACTGTCATAATTAATAGTATCATAGAGTTGGATGAGACCACATGAACTTCCTGCTGAGCAGAAACACGCAATCAAAGCACCCACAATAGATGGCCATCCAGCCTCGACTTAAATTATTAGCTCTGGGGAGGCAGTGGATTCAATGGATACGGTTATTTGATTCTGCAGAAAAATGTTCCAGATATGCTCAGAGGCAGTCTAGCCAAAAATCCTTCACCTTTGCATCCAGCAAATGATCTTTGCATCCAGCAATTTATTGCTGCACTTTCAATGAATCAGTGTCCTCCAGCTAAAACTGTACATCATTTTTTACTTTTACTTTTAATAAAAAGGATATGTGAAAAATTGGCAACAGTATATATGTTCTCAAGAGTAAGTGGTGGTAGAAAAAAGAGATCTGTGAAAGAGTTAATTAAATTAACTATTAAATGAAACCCCGTGCTTTAAGACTGCCTATCTAAACTTGAGAATTTGAAAGTATTGGATCCCTACAGTTCCCGGTCTTTGTAGTCCATCTAAGGGGATAACAGGTTAAGGGAAGGCAATTTCAAAACAGAGCCAATTTTTGAAGGTGCTAATAACAAAATGTGCCCATAGAGCTTAATTTACAACCATCCTGCCTTTACTTGTAAATCTCCCCTCTCTTTTTGTGTAAGAGAATGTGCAGATGGAAATAAGTTAATAAATAGCACTAATGAAGCAATGAATAGCCACAGGAGTAACACAACACCAAAAATCTGCAAAGGAGAAAGTTGGGGATTAGACGCTGTAATGAGTTTTGTTCCACACAGATATGACTCAGAACGAAAGTATTAACTCTTCCAATATGTTTGAGTTATGGTGCATAAACATTCCCTTCAAGGTTTAATCCCTTAAGAAAGGCTGTTTTTAGCGATTTCTAAAATAAAACATCGCCCCCATGCTTTGAACTTTCTTTCCAATACTACAATTCCTACCAATCAAGATAATTTATACTGGCTCTGGGATTCTGGGGTTTGTAGTTCACAGTCATGTTCCCAAGCTCTGTAGCGGCTTGATCGGGAACAAAATGATAAAAATCCCTTCACACACCCATACACACATACATTGTGCAAAACACAAGTTTTAAATTAACACTTTCTGCTAAATGTATTTGCCTACTGCAAAGTCAGGCTGTAAATTCTGAGATGGAAAGTTATAGGCTCATTGTTGGTACATAATTTAGTACATTTGGTGCTAAACTGCATTTCCACAGAGCAGTTTCATTTAGTGTTTTCTTGTTTTTACTTATTTATTTATTTGCTTTATCCCACGTTTCAACTTCCAGTAGACACTGTGACTCCCACCGACAACAGATATGAACCAAACTTAGCCCACAGACATCCCCCCCATGTCCAACAGAAACTAGTGGAGGGCTTGGGGGGGGGGGGGTTGACCCTAGAATTTGGGAGTTATAGTTCACCCACATCCAGAGACCACTCTGAACCCAACCAACGATGGATCTGGACCAAACTTGACATGCATACTTCACGTGGCCAACTTTGAATACTGGAGAAGCTTAAAGGGAATTGACCTTGAATTTTAGAAGTTGTAGTTCACCTGTAATCAAAGAACACTGTGAACCCAACCAACAATGGAGCTGGACCAAACTTGGCACACAATTGAACAAAATCTTTTTAAAAACTCTAAAATCAGGACAGTAAATAAAGAGCAACACTAAAAAAACAAACAAACGGGAATTCCAGACAGGAAATAATAAGGGCTAGCTAACACCTCCCAATAAAGGATTCCCCTAGCAGGAAGCAGCCGGGCTTTGAAGTTGCAAGGCCATTCAAGGTGGCCAATTGCAACATTCACACTTGCCTCAAGCAGACAAGAGTTCTTTCTCCCACTCTGGACATTCCACAGATATATAAACCCTGTTGCCTACTTTCCAACAGACTTCACAACCTCTGTGGATGCCTGCCATAGATGTGGGCAGTACATCAGGAGAGAATGCTTCTGGAATGTGGCCATACAGTCCAGAAAACTCACAGCAACTCAGTGATTCCAGCCATGAAAGCCTTAGACAACACATTAAATACCAATTCTTTCCAGTCTGGACAATGAAGCCTATACCACTCAGAGCCAGGCACAGCAACAGAGATTTAATTCTGAACCCCATCAATTCTCTCTTCCTCTCCACCTTGGTCTGGAGTCTAAGCAGGCCTGTAGCGAAGGGGGGTTTTTAGGGGTTCAACCCCCCCCCCGAAATTTTTCAGGTTAAAAAAATAAACCTGGTTTATTCATGAATTTTAACTGGTTACCCAATTCCCCATGCTAAGTCTATGAGACGCAAAAAATTAAGAGTCCCTCCAGAACTGCAAGCACTATATCAAGCAAATATTGACAATTTATTCACACTGTCATTACTTGCAGCAATAGCCGATGTAGCGAAGCAACCAAGTTGGGGGGGGGGGTGTTGTGTTGAATGCTCTCATTAAGGATGCCAGACTTGGTGGAGGTGGTTGACAGGGGTGGAGCTGCAGGCTATTGAAGGCTGCTCTGCCCCCTGCTGTGCTCTTTGCGTCAGCGTGAGCTAGGAGGCAGGTTTCAACCCCACCCCTCCTGTGAAATTTTCAAACCCCCCCCAAAATCAAAAACCCCCCCCCCCCCCCGAAATTTTTAACCCTCCCCGAAAATTTTTTCTGGCTACGGCCCTGAGTCTAAGCTAATGAGAAGGTGGATCCAAGGATGCATAAGTCTTGACCAACCAGGGAATTGAAAGTGAGTTTTGAATTGCTGCCAGACTGTATAAAATATGCTGAATTTTTCTGTATGAGTTATGTCGGTACTTTGAAATGATTATGCTGTTCTGATATTCATCTGGCCAGATGAATAAAACTTCTGTCATTGCCTCAAACCCAGGTATGTTTTTCCTAGCTGTCAAAGTAGCACAGTGTGCTGGGCAATGAACCTACATTGCCCCCTTGTGACAGACAGCTGATTTCTGTAACATTTGGATCAAGTGAAGTTTCTGAGCACTTTTCAAAGGCGGCCCTAAGTAGAGTGTATTACAATAATTAAAATGGGACATAACCAAGCCATCAACTACTGTGGCCAGAGCCAACTTTTTGAAAGAACACAGCTGTTTGCAAGATCGATGGGAAATTGCCCCTGACATTTGGTGACCTAATAAGTCATATGATATACCCTCTCCCATTTCACAAATAAAAACTTCATCACATGTGGCCAAGCAATATAAAGGTGTGATTAAGATAAAAACTGGGATGTAAGAAAAGCAGCTAGAAAAGTGAGAGAACAGAGGAACAATCCTGGACTTTCCTTGTCTGATCAAGTCAGTTGGAGGTCATGTCAGACTAGCTGTCCCCTGCCATGCATTGCTGTGGCCCAGTCTGGGAATATGTGTTTTCTGTGTGTGTGTGTGTGTGTGTGTGTGTGTGTGTGTATATATATATATATATATATATGTTTATATGTTTATATGTGTGTGTTTGCGTATATATGTGGTTTTGCGAATGTGTTGTAATGGGTTTTTTGACTTTTTAAGCCCCTTCCACTGTGTTTTTTCAGTGTTTTTATGAGTGACGGTCACTTGTTGGCCTGATAAGTGCATTGTGTCCAAATTTGGTGTCAATTCGTCCAGTCGTTTTTGAGTTATGTTAATCCCACAAATGAACATTACATTTTTATTTATATAGATGTATTCAGCCTCCAGATATTGCGTCTCCACACCCAGGTTGTGGCTGGCTATCCTCCACTTGCTTCAACGAATTCAGTATGGGGTTTACATATAACTACTATAATTTAGCTTGTTTAAAATTGTTCTACATATGTTATTGATTTTTAGCTGTATTCTGTTCTATGCTATCTTGGAAGCATATGCTGCAAGAAAGACAGGATATTAAGGACAGTAGATAAGAAGACATGAACTCTTGAATCCATTGCCAAAAGAGTAAGTAAACACCACTACTCCCTCGCTTGAGGCAACATCTCACATTATATACATTATTCTTTCTGAAACCCAATATATCTGAATTGCAAAATAAAAACCAGGAGGAAAAATGACATCAATCTCAGAAAGGCAAGGAAAACTACTGCACTAAACACAAATTCTCACCTGCTCCGGTGGAAATCCCTAGCAGACGACAAATGTGTTCCAGTACAATCCAAAAAGTCACTTGTCTCATTCTGGCAAGATAAGAAAGCCTTCAGTCTTTAGGAATTCTTGAATTAGACCAGGACTCGGGTTATGTTTTCCCTGCATTGGAGATGAGTAACATACCCTTCCCAAAGACCCACCATTCCAATGTTATGGAATAACCACCAGTTCCAAAGAAACCATCTTCTTTCCATTCTGAATCAGTTAGCAATCCTCCTGAATGGCTCTGACCACCCTTTTTGTGCTGCCATTGTCCTTCATCACACAGTGGAACAATTAATAATTACCAAGTGGAATGGACTCAGCCTAAGGGCTTCTCCGTCCTTGGTGCATTTCAGTATGGGACAATTATATCTACAGTTTGGAAGGTTCTTGCGAATGCACACTCCACACTGGTACAGATTAATTGCCATGGGTTAGCATTAGAGGCTTATGGCTTTGCTACTTTTTAAAAGAATGTAGGTTGCTGTAGTTACTAATCATTCTGGGAATTTACAAGGTGTTCAAGGACTCTCTCCCCATAGGTGTCAGAACACAGCATGAAGTGACATCCTCTGATAAGGATTTTTAAAAATGGAGACGAAATCATAGGAATACATGGGAGAGTTATGTTTGACAGTCATGTCCAGAAAACTGCACCTCAGATCCCCTCTCCTAGGAGTTTGTTTGATATAAGGCAATACCAGGATGAAAAGACTAATCTAGAAGCACCAATAAAAGGTCACACAAACTGGGAAGAGGTTCCTTCAGTTCCTCGGGCATGTTCTCCAAAAAAAATTAAGATTTCTGATTGTGGACACTTTCCTAGTAGGGAGAGAAATCCCATCATACCTCATTCTTTTCTGAATAAAGTTACTTTTGAGATAATTAACAAAAAAAACAAACACTCAAAAATAACTGTGCTTCTCTCACCCATTAGTTGCCAGAGTTACCCAAATTGCCTCTTTGCATGTGCAAACTGGTGCTTTTTTGCACTGAGAGGGCCAGATCTATATTTCACAGTATTACATTTGAATGCTCCAAGTAAAGTTTCCACCATCAAGGTGACACAAGTCTCACCAGTGGAGTGAAAGACAAGAAGAACATGTGCAAGCCTCCTACAAAGACTTTACCAGTGGCTGAATCTACAAGATTAGTAGAAATATACTGTGGTTGAGGAGGGAAGGAGGGTGGGAAAAATATAATCTACACCAGTGTAAATTAGCATAATGTCATTAATATTTGTTAAATTACTCAGGATTTATGCTTATAACACTTGGAATATGGCTTGTTGATTTGTGTTTATAGCATAATAAAATATGTTAAAAATGTGCAAGCCTCCTCAGTCCTTTGCTCATAATAATGTACAGTAGAGTCTCGCTTATCCAACCTTTGGTCATCCAACGTTGTTTTATCCAATGCAATCTGCCTCCCGTGAATCCACAGCTGTTTCAATACATTGTGATGTTTGGTGCTAAATTTGTAAATACAATAATTACGACATAACATTACCATGCATTGAACTGCTTTTTCGGTTGATTTGTTGTAAAACAAGATGTTTTGGTGCTTAATTTGTAAAATCATAATGTAATTTGACATTGAATAGGTTTTTCCTTAATCCCTCCTTATTATCCAACATTTTCGCTTATCCAACATTCTGTCGGCCCATTTATGTTGGATAAGCGAGACTCTGCTGTATATGCTTCCCAACAGAATAGACCACTCAAGGTTCTTGTAACAACCTTTACTGGGAAACCCTTGCTGTGGGTCCCTCATCCTCTCATTCACCCCTACTGCAAAAGACTCCACAGGTTCTGAAAGAGCAATTTGTTCACCTATAATTGTAGTTTGTTGGGTGGTCATGTATGCCCTCATACAATTGGCATCTTATGCACATGTAGATTCCTTCTGGAATGTTGCAAAATTGTGCAAATTTCTGACAACAGCCCTGTTCTCCTGGGCTGCGCTATGTAATGCCAAAAACGATATCCCCCAGTCCTGATGTCTGTTGTAGAGTTTGGTGTTTTGGAGAAATTATGATCTCTAGAAGGGCGTGACCTTGTTAGCAATCACAGCCTTTTGGAAAATGATGCCATAACCTTTTGGGAAATAGAAATCTCTATAACATTTTTGAAAATGGCATTCACCACCATTTTGGGAAAATCAGGAATCTCCCCAAAAAGAGTTAAAAACCCACTTGAGTCAACCTTCTCCTTAGTGGTAAATAATATCCACTAATATTCATGCAAGGCAATTAGGTTTCTTAGCTGTTAAACTGATGTACCTAGATATCTCTTTGAACTATTAGGGACAAATGATATGCCAATGCACAAAAACATATATATTTATTATTTAGAACTTTTATATCTCATTCTTCTCTACCTCTGTGGAGGGACTCAGAATGGCTAACAGCAAAAATTAAATGCTAGACAAGATATATATATATAGATAGATAGATAGAGAGAGAGAGAGAGAGAGAGCAGAGTTTCAGAAGTGTTCCTTCAGTCCCCCCCCCCCCCAAATTCTACTCTTCCTTAAAACATCTTTGTTTAAATCATGCTCTCAAGAGGCAAAAACAAGTAGACTTCTTTAAAATAACATAGTTGGTTTATTCACAAACTTCATGCACTGAGCATACAGGTACATTGTATATCAATCCAGTTACAAATAGGATTTGAAGTAGTTTATCTGTGCAGATAACATAGGGCATCTTTCTTAGAATCTTAACCATCCAAAGTCTAAAGCATCTTTCCGGTCTGAGAGTCTAACAGAGTTTCTGTCTAGTCTGAAAGTGAAATGGAATCAGTTATCTATCTATCTATCTATCTATCTATCTAATCTATCTATCTATGGCTTTATATCCCGTCCTACCTCACTTCCACAAAGGGACTCAGGGTGGCTAACAACCAGCACAGCACAGTGCCCACAATAAGAAAAGCATAGTATAATAAAATAAAAACAATATAAAATATTAAAACACATCGCCAAATTCGGTTAACATCCTAAAAGCAGTCCATTAAGTCAGCAAGTCAGTCTAGTCTGCAAAGGCCTGATCCCAGAGCCAGGATTTTACTTTTTTTCAGAAAGACAGGAGAGATGGAGCAGATCTGGTTTTGTTTGGGAGAGAATTCCACAGCCGAGGGGCCACCATGGAGAAGGACCTGTCTCTCGTCCCCACCAAGTATGATTGCAATGGTGGGGGCACTGAGAGCAGCCCCCCCCCCAGATCTTAAGGTCCTAGGTGGCTCATAGTGGGTGATACATTTGGACAGGTAAACTGGGCCAGAACCGTTACGGGCTCTATAGGCCAAAACCAGCACTTTGAATTGTGCTTGGAAGCTGATAGGCAGCCAGGTGAGTTAGCGTAGCGTACTGTGTCTGAGTATTGTTTTACTGTTATAATTTTTTGGGGTTTTTTTAGAGTTTAGGCCATCAAATGCTAACCAAGGTGGCCAACTGAAACATTCACACCTGCCTGAAACAGGCAAGAGTTCTTTCTTCCACAGATATACAAACTCCATTTTCCTAGTTCCAACAGACCTCACAACCTCTGAGGATGTTTGCCATAGATGCAGGCGAAACGTCAGGAGAGAATGCTTCTAGAACATGGTCATATAGCCCGAAAAAAACTACAACAACCTAGTAATTCTGGCCATGAAAGTCTTCGACAAAACCTTTGTCCTTCTGCGACGGAGGCGGGGCCGATGATCATGAGTAGTATACACTCTGGATTTGCCCTCTTGCTTCCCAGCAGAGCCTGCCGCCCAAGGGAAGGGAAGGCAAGGGAAGGGAAGGGGCGGGGCGGCGACTGAGAGGGAAAGGCTTCCGCCCTCCGAGGCCCAGGACCACGCCATGGAGCCCGGCGGAGGCAGCTCTTCCGTGGCGCCTGCCCGGCCGCGCGTGGTGATCGTGGGCGCGGGGATGGCCGGCCTGGCCGCGACCCAGCGCCTCCTCCTCAGCGGCGGCGGCTCGCGGCACTTCTCCGGCCTGCGCTTGCTCGAGGCCTCCGGGAGAGCGGGCGGCCGCATCCGCTCCGTCCCCTTCGGTACGAGCAGCCCATCAGCACCCTCGGTTTCCTTTTCAGACTAACGCTTGGAAGCCGGCAACACAAGACACTGCGCCTTCTGCGGAATTCTGGGAAACGTAGTTCGGGAAGGAAAGGGCCTCTCTGGCTGGGGATTCCAAAGCCTCCCGCCCTGGACTACATTTCCCAGAATACTAAGAATGCGGCGGTGCCCCCTTTAAAGCCACACTGCTGAATAAAATCCCATATTATCTGCTTTGAACTGCAATATATGGTAGTGTGGACTCAGGGCCCTTCCCCATAACCCTATATCCAGAATATCAAGGCAGAAAATCCCACAATATCTGCTTTGAATTGGGTTATCTGAGTCCACACTCAAATAATGTGAGATTTTCTGCCTTGATATTTCTGGGATATAGGGTTGTGTGAAAAGGCCCTCAGATAACCCACTTCAAAGCAGATACTGTGGGATTTTCTGCCTTGCCATTCTGGGATATAGGGCTGTGGGGAAGGGCCCATATATGCCACAAATAAGCAGGACATTTCCCTTTGCTCGAAACTTTGCATGGCTGGACAGGAATCACTGCTTGCGGGCCCTTCCACACAGCCCTATATCCCAGAATATCAAGAAAAAGTCTCCTTTATGAGGCCGCTTCCACACAGCTGAATAAAATCCCACATTATCTGCTTTAAAGTGAAATATATTGTAGTGTGGACTCTGATTACCCAATTCAAAGCAGATATTGTGGGATTTTCTGCCTTGATATTCTGGGTTATATGGCTGCATGGAAGGGCCCTGAGTCTCCTTGTGGACAGAAAAGCTGGGTATAAATCAATGTCATAATATATATTTTTTCCCATGTCGAGAGCGACTTGAGAAACTGCAAGTTGCTTCTGGTGTGAGAGAATTGGCCTCTGCAAGGACATTGATGTTTTACCATTCTGTGGGAGGCCTCTCTCATGTCCCCGCATGAGAAGCTGGAGCAGACACAGAGAAGCTCACCCCACTCCCCGGATTCAAACTACCAACCTTTCAGTCAGCAGTCCTGCTGGCACAAGAATTTAACCCATTGCGTCACCCAGGGCTCTTTGATAATAATAATACAATGCTAGTCTGATAAAGTCCTACAATTCTTTTAAAATATTTTTTAAATTGAAATACTATCTTGTACCCAGCAGTGCCCGGGTTAGGTAATATGGTAAGGATATACATTATGAAAGAAATATCCATATTTTTCAGCTACTTTTACTATCCCATTCTTCCATTTTTGGGGTGTTTCTTCTTGTTTCCACGTCCGCGCATAGACAATTCTTGCTGCAGAATGAAATCAGAATGAAAAAGGCGTCTGCTAAAGCTCCTCATTGTGGAGATGCTGGATTTAAATTGACTTTTTCTTCCTTTCTTCTCTCCTAGAAAATAAGGTGGTTGAGCTTGGTGCCCACTGGATCCATGGGCCTTCAAGGGAGAACCCTGTATTCCAGCTTGCTTCAGAGCACGGATTATTAGATGACGATGCCATGTCTGAGGAGAACCAACAGGTGGAAGCAGGGGGACATCCTGTGTGGTCATCAGTCTCCTATTCCAGCCAGGGCCAGTTGCTGAGCTCTGAAATAATCGAATCCATGAGGATCCTCTTTTTTACTCTCTTAGAAGAATCACGTGAGTTCCTGCACGCAGACAAAGTCCCCGTACAAAGTGTGGGTGAATACATGAAAAAAGCAATTGTTCAACGGATGAAGGAATGGACCGATGATGAAAAGACAAAATCCTTGAAGCTGTCTATCCTCAACCTGTATTTCAAGTTGGAGTGCTGTGTGAGTGGAACTCACAGCATGGATCTGGTGGGACTGGGGCCCTTTGGGGAGTACAGAATGCTGCCTGGCCTGGACTGTACCTTTCCCAAGTGAGTGAGTTGACTTAGATCTTATTGAAAACCATTAGCTTGTTTCTGTGATCTCCTTGTCCTGGATTATTAGCTTATTTGCTGTGGCTTGGAAGGAGGATACTGTGAAAGCTTTTCCCAGCCATATGTATTTCACTCTACTGTTCACATGTGCTGCACCCTCTTTGCCCCACCGCATGTTCTTTATACTTTTTCATATGGTTTTTATCTTTCTTTCCCTCTATCATTTAAGTTCTTTTCTCTTCCTTCTTTTTTGCTTCCCTTCTCTCCTCTCAGAGATAAGAGAGGTAAAACAAAATAAAACAAACTGGAACTGGCTGGGGTTGGAGTTCTTCCTCCTCCCTGTTTCTTGGAGGTAAGATTTTAAAAATCCAATAAGCTCTTTCCTTGGAAACCTTTAAACAGAGGCTAGATGGCCATCTCTCAGGGGTACTTTAATTGTGCTTTGCCTGCATGACAGGGAGTTGGACTAGACCAGTGTTTCTCAATCTTCCTAATGCCACGACCCCTTAATACAGTTCCTCATGTTGTGGTGACCCCCCAACCATAAAATTGTTTTCGTTGTTCCTTCATAACTGTAATTTTGCTACTGTTATGAATCATAATGTAAATATCTGATATACAGGATGAATTTTCATTCACTGGACTAAAATTAGCACAAATGCCCAATTCGCTCAAATTTGAATACTGGTGGGATTGATAGTTGAAATTGATTTTGTCATTTGGGAGTTGTAGTTGCTGGGATTTATAATTCACCTACAATCAAAGAGCACTCTGAAACCCACCAACTATAGAATTGGGCCAAACTTCCCACACAGAACCCCCCATGACCAACAGAAAGTACAGTGTTTTCTGATGATTTTTGCTGACCCCTCTGACACCCCCCTCATGCCCCCTGGGCTCCCGACCCCAAGGTTTCAAAACACAGGATTAGATGGCCCATGTGGTCTCTTCCAACTCCATGATTCTATGAAGTGGTATAAATTAGGTCCCTTTAGGTCATATTCTTAGGCCCCATCTATACTGACCATTTAATGCAGTTTGGATCTAGCTTCAAATGGTGGCGGTCAGACAACAGAATATCCGGACCTTAAACTGGTTCCAGGACTTCCTACATTATCATCCGCACAGCAAAGCCACTTTCTTCAATATTAGTTTTGGAGTCTTTCTACACTAAAACCTGGCTTGCAGCCATCTCAAGGCCTGAGTGTCTACAAAAAAATACACCAAGTGCGAGTTACAACCTGAATCCAGCCAAAAACAGTATGATACAAAAACCATAAAATCCACTGAAACTCAATTTTGTATGAATCCAGCACATGAAGAAGTCCAATGCCAGAATGCTTATGTAGACAAGCCTAATGCCACAGCTGTCAGAGTGAGAAACCAGATACACAGCTTGTCCAGAAAAGTAACAAACAGCTTTCCCCTATAAAAGAAACTAAATGTTCCCATGGGGATGATCAGTTGCCATCTCCTGACTTGTTTTGCTGTAGGCAAGTGCTGAGTTGCTGTTTTTACCGGCATGTCACTGAAAGAGATAGGAAAAATGATTTGTGGATCAACTTAACTAGCATTCAGTGGACCTTTGTGGCCACAATCCCAGCTTCCAGCTGGTTTGTAGATTGCCTACATGGGTACTCTGAAGCAAACCAGATTTTTTAAATCAATGGCCTGACCTGGATTAAATGTCTATGTAGAAGCAGCCTGAAACTGCATTAAATGGTCAATGTAGAGGGATGCTTAGTCAAAACAATGCTTTCTCTCCTTGTTAATGTTAAAGCCTGGCAGTTCTCCATACTCCTTCAGGAGAGAATTCAAGATCTTACCAGTATTCAAATAGTCTTCTAAAAAATAATCACCAAGTCACCAGTAAATACGTTTAGTATTGCACCACACATACATACTTAACATATATCAGTAGAATCCCCTTTATATATACTTCTTTTCTACCCTCTTTAGGTCTAATTTTGTTATTTAATACCTCTATTAACATTTTAAAAAACAATGGGGAAAACGGACATCCCTGTCTGCTACCTTTCAGTATTTTGCATGGTTTAGTCAATTTCCCATTGATCAAGATTTGAGCACCTTGGATATATTAAATCTTGACATGTTTTGCTGTTCTGTAGCAGCGAAAGATAGTGCAAGGGGGCATTGTATAACTCAGGAACCTCTAGGCTACCTAATTTTGTGTCTCCCCTTTTTAGTGGTTATGAAGGACTCACGAACCGCATAATGGCATCTTTACCCAAAGGGACTGTGCTCTTTGATAAGCCAGTGAAGACTATTTATTGGGGGAGCTCCTACTTGGAAGAGTCCACAGGGTGCCTTTTTGGAGTTCAAGTGGAATGTGAAGATGGCGAGAAATTCTTCGCTGACCATGTCATCCTCACAGTGCCTCTAGGTGAAATCTTGGTGACTTTTTATTTTCTCCTGATCTAATTGAGTGGTGTGCCAAGCTTTTACTTCTCTTTGCAGCACAATCACATCTTTTTCCTCTTTGTTTGGAAAACAAAGTACTGTGGTCAAGTACTCCAGCTGCTACTGTTGCTTATGGGGAGGGAAATTAGACTATAAGGCAGCAGCTTGACCCTGGTGAGTGGAAGTGGGGGAGACAGAATGTACCTATCTTTTCCTTCTCCTGGGACCCTAAAGCGACTGTATGTTCATGGTCCCAATTGCACAAACACCAACACCCACACACATATACACACTTCCCAGCTATAAGTAGAAGCAGCCCCTCCCCTGGGGCTTGACAGCAACTGTGTGGGCAGAGAGAGACTGCAGGACAAAGTGCAAAGAAAAGAGAATAGCTTCCAGCACATGCCTCTAACAGGATGCTGACTTATGTGTGCAGGCAGGGTTAGCAGTAGTTGGCTAGCTACTACTACTTAACAATGATACTCAACCTGTGGATCCCCAGGTGTTTTGGCCTACAACTTCCAGAAATCCCAGCCAGTTTACCAACTGTTAGGATTTCTGGGAGTTGAAGGCCAAAACATCTGGGGACCCACAAGTTGAGAAGCACTGATTTAGATGATCCTTCATGGCTGAGTATGTTTTCCAAGGGTAGAGTCTTTGCGGTGGGAGATCTTTTCTGTATCCATATGGTCTTTCACAATGAGGACATAGATTTCCAGAGGGAAGTGGTCACGGCAACAGTTTGCTTGATGTCTCTTCCTCTTGGCACATTTTCCCCTTTCACCCTCTATTTGCGCTATGGATTTTGAAGAAGCATGGCTAGGATTGGCTAACAGAACTGACTAAAAAGTAAGTAGGGATCACAGGTCTTGTTTTTAAGCCTCTAAGAAGTATATTATTCCATAATCACTGAGTTCAGAGTCTCGACGAATCTTCTTTACCTATTTAAAAACCATTTTTGCTGCTTTGTCACTGAAATAATTTGCTACCCAGTGGCTACAAGTGGTTCATTCACCTTCAAGACATAGGTGCATGATCTGCATAAAGATACTTTTTATTCCTGCTTGACCACTGAAATTTGGTGACATTAGGGGAACCTCCAGGTGTTGTCCATCCCTAGTGGAGCTGGCAGCTCTGAATTTTATTATTTATTCATCATTATTTAAAGCATTAAATATATTCCGCCCATCTCACCCTAAAGGGGACTCAGGGCAGAGCACAACATATAAACAGCAAACATTCAATTCCAGGACATAAAACAAACTATAAATATACACAAACACTAAAATCAGTTATATCCACTTTAAAATCAATTGTTTAAAATCATCTCAAAACAGCCATACCAGATCCGGTCAGCAGGGTAGGGTTTCCTATTATTACCTTATTGCACTGTCCCAAAGGCTTGGCCCTGCAGGCAAGTGTTTACCATATTTCTGAAAGACAGGAGGGAGAGGGCTGATCTAATCTCGCCAGGGAGGGAGTTCCATACCTGAGGAGCAATCACCTAGAAGGCCCTCTCTCTCGTCCCCACCTATCATACCTGTGACGGCGGGAATGAGAGCAGGGCCTCCCCAGAAAATCTTAATCTCTGTTCATGTTTAGCATGAACATTGAAGGGCCTATTCAAGGTGCTAAATTCTTCCTCCCAAGTTAAATACCATTTTAAAGTTCAGGCTAAAACCCACCCCAATGACATGAAAGTTATCAGTTTTAGTAGATGTAGGAGAGTAATGTGGAGGAGCCTGTTTCTTGCATGTGAAGCTCTGGAATAGATTATTTAGAATTAGTGCTACCTCCTCTTTTTAATCCTCTCTCCCTCACCACCTGGCTTTTCTAGGCACTGGTTTGAAGCAAAGGGACAAATAGCTGCTGCTTCTTTCTTCTACAACTTGTGTAATTTCTTAGGCCTCTTCTACACAGCTGTATAAAATCCACATTGAACCATTATATGGCAGTGTGGACTCAGATAACCCAGCTTAAAGCAGATACTGTGGATTATCTGTCTTGATATTCTAGGTTATATGGCTGGGTGGAAGGGCCTTTAGACAGACTTCAGTAACAGTAGATATTGAAATAGGGCAACACAGTATCACTGCATTCCAGCCTAGATATCTGTGTTTCTGAATTGTGGGGCGGGGATCAGAATATTGTATAGTGTTTGCTGAATGTTTGCACAAGAGACTTGTTCTTAGAGTCTGGTCTTATCAGAGTGTGCTGTGTTATATCCCTTCCTTCTCCCTAGGGTTCCTCAAAGAACACTACAAGACCTTTTTCTATCCTCCGCTTCCATCCCAGAAAGTGGCAGCAATAAAAAACCTGGGATTTGGAACAAACAACAAAATATTTTTGGAATTTGAGCAGCCATTCTGGAAGCCAGATTGTGAACTTGTTGAGGTGGTATGGCTGGATGAATCGCCTTTGGTTGAACCACCTAGTGATTTGAAGACTACCTGGTTTCAAAAAATCCCTGCCTTCATTGTTCTCCATCCTCCAGAAAGGTATCCAGACTAGACAGATGTCTCTTCCTGGGGCAGCAGAAATTGAACTAAGGATCAACCCACCAAGATCTGCTTTAGTTTTAAATTGTTCTACATTTGTAGCAGACTTTATGAAATGTTTCTATTGTGGTTCTTTAGCCTGCAGAACCCCCAGTGGAGCAGTGGTTTAAACCCTTGTGCCGGTAGGACTGCTGACTGAAAGGAAGCCAGTTCAAATCTGGGGAGCTGGGTGAGCTCCCATCTGTCAGCTCCATCTTCTCATGCCCCTACATGAGAGGAGCCTCCCACAGGATGGTAAAACATCTGGCATCCCCTGGGCAACATCCTTGCAGACATGGCCAATTCTCTCACACAGAAGCAACTTGCAGTTCTCAAGTTGCTCCTGACCCCCCCCCCCCAAAAAAAAAGCTCTACTGATATTTGGCTTACTTACAGATCTAGGACAGTGGGAAAGTCAAGCTTTAAGTTCTAGGGCTGTGAGCAAACAAGTTGGAGAGCAAATACACAGATGCCAATTTGCCAACAAACAAATTCTCTTCTTTCAGAGTCCAGTTAAAATTCAAAACATGTCTCATTTTTAAATGAGGAGCTCACAGAACTGAGATAAAGTGAGCCCTGTTTATCAACAGATAAAAATTTAATTAACATCCTGAACATGAGGTTTTGTCATTGCCATAGCTTTTGTTTACAATGAGACACTGACTAAAAACTGTGTGCCAGGCTAGAGGCAAGTGAGAGAATAATTTCCTTGCATTTGATCAATAGAAGAAATACTTGGTTTTCACTTCTTGATTAAACTTTCTGTCCTTTGATGTGCTGTCCAAAGCAGCTATAGCCACAAAGATGGTTGCATTGTTAAACAGCATATTTTAGTTGAATGAGTACACAATGTTGCAGAGAAATTCCAGGAGTGCCACAGTATTTTTGTATATCTAAGATGAACAAAGGGAGTGTTACATACTAACTATATCTGAACCATTATTTCAGATTCAGAAGAACTGTGTCAGATATGACAAATAGCGGGGTAGGATTAAACCCTGGTGGAATAGTAACGGTCGTAGTGTTTGAAATAATCTTTAGCAATAAAATCAGATTGCATACAATTTTACTATATTGGGAGAGGGCAAGATAAAAATAAAATAGATAATAAATACTGGAAAGTATGCTGCAAGCTTAAACATTAAAGAGAAAATTATAGTTCAGTTATGATTTATTCTCTCCTGTGTAAATTACTAAAAATCATTAAATTGTTAGAATATATGAGAATTGAGTGCATGAATGAACATACCACACTGAATTCAGTTGTAATATAGATATGTGCCATTATCATAAATGCTCTTTAAAAGGATGACACACAGGATTTTTATTGGCTGTATTATCATGGAGTATAACCACTACATCATGACAGCTTCCTTCAGACAGGACTGTGCTAGGAATTCGAACAATAGATAATGTTGCATGACATTTTCAATTGCATTTACATAGCCCACAACCTGTGGCCCTCTAGGTGTTTGGGACTTCCAACTCCCAGAAGTCCTAGCCAGTTTGTCCAAAGATCAGGAATTCTGGGAACTGAAATCAAAAACATTTGGAGGACTACACATTGTATACCACTGATGTAGCCTGTCTTTGAGATAAGGAGTGTTAAGCTAAATTGGTCATTGCTGTGGCTCGGCACTTCAAGTATTAAAAGGCTCAAGGCATTCTTAATCTAGGTTTTTTCTCTTTGCAGGTATGGACATGTCCTCCTTGGCTTCGTTGCTGGGAAAGAATCTGAATTCATGGAAACTCTTACAGACACTGAGGTTCTCACAACCTTAACACAAGTATTTCGTAGAGTAACAGGTAGGTGTCTTTTGTAAGCTACTCTGGTTGGAAAGGATTAATGAGCTAAGAACGTTGGTCCAAAATTTCCAGAACTTTTGTAATTATCCAGGTGTGTGCATACAGAGAATATTCAGTATCTTTTTCTTTAAATTTGTCATCAGACTCAGGTTTTTATTTGCTACTAACAGTTCAGAACTAGAGGAGTGAACAGTGGAGTTTGACTCAAAGAAGATAATTGGTCACTATCAAAAAAAAGACTGATTACTTCTTGATATCTATGTTAAATAATCCTCAGTTATACTTGGATTTGATGCCCAACCACTGATACTCAGTAAAATCAGGCTCACATGATTTCTGCTCACAAATCTGTTGGTGTCCAAATAAATTATGTAGTTTATAGCAGAATATTCTACTGACAGACCTGTAGATAGGGTCTGTAGGTTTGTTCTTAAACTGAATTTGTTTGTAAGTCAGAACAGGTACACTTTTAAAGTGTAACTCCAGATATGCGTGCACACACACACGCATTTGTGCTTTGGATATTATAGGGAAGGGCTAACACCTTTTATGTTTGTTGTTGCGCCCATGTTCAGAAGATTCCCCTTTACTTTGTGACAATTTGATTTTGAAAAATTTAGCTTGTTGTGGAAACAAGGACTGGTGCTAAAGTTTCAGTGGAAGGCCCCCTTTCCCCATGAAAACTCTTTCAGGAGTGAATTTCCCTTCCGAGGGGTAGCTTTCTCTCACTTCCTGTTGTGTCACTCCTGCTCTTAACTAGGAGTCATTTGTAAATCGGATGTTTGTAACTTAGGGATTGCTTGTATTTAGCCTTTTTGAAAATGTCTACATTTTCAAGACTGCTATCTGGGCACCTGTAGAAGCATACGAAGCAGTTTTCATAGGGGTTTCAGGCCTCACAAATGCAGTTTTATTTAGGCTAAGTACTTACTATCCTATCATTTCACTCTGTCCTGAGGAAAGCAACAGAAATGTGCTTACCAGAGCAGTTCCAAATTCCATGAAATGCTTTCCTTAGAACTAGAACGAGCAAAATACTTACATGTTCTCTATCTGTTTGATTCAGGAAATCCACAGCTTCCTCCACCAAGGAGTATCCTGAGATCTAAATGGCACAGCGAGCCCTATACCAAAGGTTCTTACAGTTATGTGAGTGTTGACAGCTGTGGAGATGACATTGATGTCCTTGCTCAACCCCTTCCTGAAGAAACATATAATTCTAAGGTAAATATTTTTGGTTCCCAACTGCATTGGAGCCCGCCTAGTTAATGTGTAATCGTCTTAGGCCCCATCTACACTGCCATGCAGTCCAGTTTTTGAATCCAGATTATCTGCTTTGAACTGGATTATATGGCAGTGTAGATTAATGTAATACAGTTCAAAGCAGATAATCTGGATTCAGAAATGGGAATATATTGCAGTGTAGATACATTCTTAGGAACAAGTTACTATGGGCTTGTTCACACAGCCATATAAACCAGAATATTAAGGCAGAAAATCCCACAATATCTGCTTTGAACTGGATTATCTGAATTGACACTGACATATATTCCAGTTCAAAGCAGTTAATGTGGGATTTTCCACCTTGATATTCTGGGTTATATAGTTGTGTGGAAGGGCCCTTTGTTACTGTGCACATTCTCAAAGTTCCCTAAAACAGAAAATCTAGAGTCTATTTCTTCTGCCATGAAGTAAATTCCATAAAGGGCTAAACTAATGCCATCCTTTCTTGTTACAGCCACCTGGGCTCCTTTTTGCAGGGGAAGCCACACATCGCACTTTCTATTCAACAACCCATGGGGCTTTGCTGTCTGGCTGGAGAGAAGCAAATCGTCTTATTCACATCTATGACAAGCCTGAATCCCTACATGCTATGCTGTAAGCAGCTAACAGCAACTCTCTTTTGTTGATGATTGTCTCATCAGTAATCATTAGACAACTTGTAGCCCCCCAAAACACATTTTGATCTGCCTGATAAACATGCTGGGTCTTTCTTGCATTTGTGATTTGGGGAACCAGAATAAAAAAAACATGTCTTTCAGTATTGTATGCCACAAAGATAATTCAGTTAAAAATAAATGTCTCTTTATGCTGCTTTTATTTCCACTACTTCTGGCCATGGAATATACGGGCAGTCCCTGAGTTACAAACATCCAACTTACAAATGACTCAGAGTTAAGAACGGAGGTGAGACAGTAGGAAGTGAGAGAAATGTACCCATATGAAGAGAATTCCACTTCTGAAAGAGTTCTCATGGGGAAAAGATATCTGAACTGAAGCTTTTTCATCAATCCTTGTTTCTACAACAAGCCAATTTTTCCAAAATCCAATGATTGCAGAGATAGAAAGTGAGGTGAAATCTTCTGAACAGGGGCACAGACAACAAAACAAACCCCGCAAGGGTGTTAACCCCTCACTATGCTATCCAAAGTTCACTCTCTATGTGTGTGTGTGTGTATGTATGGCTGGACTTACACTTTAAAATGCACCTGTTCCGTCTTACATATAAATTCACTTAAAAACAAATCTCCAGGACCTATCTCGTTCGTAACTTGGGGACTGCCTGTAACTATGTTTTCCTGTATGATCCAGTACAGATAATTAACCAGCACAGGATGGCCCTCCAGGCTGTTACCAAATTGCAGATACCAACATTTTTTACCACTGACTGTACTGGCTATCATTGGTGTGAATTACAGTTCAACAACATCTGAAATGACCTTTTCAAACTGACTTTTCCATAAAAAGACAATATATTGAAGTACGTGAAATCTCCATTTTATTGGTAATCTTTGCAGTGTTTTACCAAAACAAAAACGACTGTATAAGGCATCTATTGTATTCTTGCCACATTCCCAAAAGTGCTGGGGATTTCAATACAGGGTCCCATCTGATCTTGGAAGGAAAGAAGAGTGTGAGCTCTTGGATGGGAGATCGCCAGCGTATAGCAAATACTGCAAGGTATTCATTGGATCACCATAGTCAACATAGATCACCATGTGACTTGCAAGCACACACACACAGGCATGGCTATAATTCAGGGGCTATTGGACTAGTGGTATTTTATAGTAGAAACTATGACTTTTTATTTTATAAATTAAATTAATAGTATCATTGGGCTAGGTTTTCCAAAAGAAACCTTGCTCATAATGTTTGAGAGTCCAAGTCTTCTCTTCCTAGTAATTGTCTTAATCAGAGTATTGCGTTTCCATTACCAGAATTCTGCCATTTTTGCCTCACTTAGGAGAAAGCAGTTCTAGAATTAAGGTAACACTCTTCCTCTACTTCTTAATGTTATCAATTCTGAAAATGCTAATCCTTCTAAAATGATGATTTTTCACTATGAATTTTTAGTTTGCCATACTGGCCTCATTACAGAATAATTCCCTGAGAAAATTTGAATCACAGCAGATGGAGAAGTTGGCTCTAAATTTGCCTGGTTGCTACTATACCTTTGCCAACTAAACAAGCAGTTCTTAGTCTGAACTTAGGTGAACCCACTTAAAATGTTGAGTGCCAAGTTCCCTATGGGCCTACTGTAGTTGGAATTGGATTTAGGCTTCCTACTTAGATAGTTAAAAAATTAAGTTCCAGGACCTTGCAGGAAACCAATTTTTATAACAAAGAGGGTATGTATCTTCTGGTGGAATCCTGCTGGGCATTTCACTGTGTCTTTTCGAGCCCTGAATAGAACATGGCTCAGTCCTATAGAATCCTGAGAGTTGTAGTTTTATAAGGCATCTAGCCTTCCCTGCCAAAAGAGTGCTAGTGCATTACCAAACTATAATTCCCTTGATTCCATAGGACTGAGCCATGGCAGTCCAAGAGGTGTCAAACAGCATTAATTCCACAGTATATACGCACATGAAGTCTAGATCCTAGATTGTCTCCTGTGAAATATTCTCACTATCAGCACTCACAGAATAACCCTTCTGAGACTAGAGTCTAGAAAATTGAACAGATGAAGGGATATGGAAAAATGCCCTGGCCTGAAACAGAAGAAATAACTATTGCCAACCTCAGAGCCAGGGAGTGATATTATTAGCCATTGGGGGGGGGGGTAAAAAAAGGGGGGCTGCAGGAAGCCAATGCAGCCTCTCATCTGTTCAACAAGCCACTCCAGTTTATCGTCATATCCATGAGCAAATATCAACTGAACATCAGAACGAGTTTCTTGGCAGTGAGTCCAGTTTGGCAATGAAACTGTGATGGCACGCCAGGGTGAAAGGAAAACTATATGTCTGGCTATTCCCGGTGGCTATTGGTATACCCTCTGATGTACTTCAGTTCTTTAAAAATAAAGACTCTTGAGACAGGATTAAAGTTAACCAAATAAGTTTACTGGAAACAAAAGGCAAAGTTAACTTCAGTCAGAGTTCTTGAAAGGCGAATCAAAATAAAATATTACAAAGACAAAGTTTGTTGTTTGAATTTGGTTACACTGGTAATAAACACTTGACTATATTTGTACAATATGAGGTAAAATGCTTCATTATAATTGTCTTCAGCAAGGTACTTGGCTATTGATATAATACAGGACTAAAATGGTAAAGTACAGAACTATAATAACTATATGGTAGAAGTACAAGCTATAATGGTGAAGCACTCTGGGCTATAGTGTTAAGTACTAAGATATTATGATGGTATGTACACGCTATAGAGACTGTGAGGTATATACTGTAATGATGGCTATATGGTAAATACATGGTATGTACGTGCCATAGAATGCCTGTTTAGATTGCCAGGCCAAGGAACCCAGACAATTTCTGGCCTTCTCCTCTAAAACTCTGACAAAGGAAAGAGGAGGGAAAAGCCTTTCAGACAAGTTCTGAGGCAAAAGGGCTAAACCAACTGAGCCAGGCCTCTAGGAGGTTTTTTAAAGCTCCACCCCTAAAATAAGCACAAATGGGAAAGACCACGCCAAAGGGAGAACAAAACAAGGAAATTAAACAGGAGGGGGACAAGCAAGGCCAAGACATCACAGGAACCAATTGCCTAGGGATGTCCTGTGGACATCTTCAGAAAACAGAATTAAGATTGATTTATTTACTTCATTTGTTTACCACCTTCCTCACCCCAAGGGGGACTCAAAGTGATTTACAACATTCACAGCAAAATTTAATGCCTTGCAAACATATGAAAACCAAACATAAAAATGACAATAACGTAAGACTATCAATTGAATCAGAAAATGTAACAACATTAAAACATTGAGTTAAAAACATATTAATATACACATTAAAATCACATGATCCAAAAGCATAGTCCAGACCGTTCCAATATCAAATAACAATTGCATGTATTTGTTTTTCTTGTATTTTACTGCCCAAATGCTTGGTTCCATATGTTATTTTTTTTCTGAAGCCAAGAGGGAGGTGCTGATCTAATTTGTTGGGGAGGGAGTTCCACAGATGAGGGGCCACCACTGAGAAGGCCCTGTCTCTCATCCCCACCAGTTGTGCCTGCGAAGTAGGCGGGACCAAGAGCAGGGCCTCCCTGGACGATCTTAACCTCTGAGATGGTTCATAGAGGGTGATACATTCAGACAGGTAAACTGGGCCGGAACCGTTTAGGGCTTTATACGCTAAAGCCAGCACTTTGAATTGCGCTCGGTAGCAGACTGGCAGCCAGTGGAGATAAATGAAGATATATGAAGACAAGAAGATATATGAAGACATTTTGATTTTTCTCTTGCTTCTAAAATCTCTAAATGTTTTCTGTATGCTCAGTTAAATAATCCAAATTGTGTTTTCAAAAATTTGCTTGTCATAAAGAGATTTCTCTATAAGTCTTTTGAGGCCTTCCATAGAATAACTCCTTTCTGCTCTACAATAGCAAGAGTTATGTTTCTTATAAGCCACTTTACCTCATCTTAAAATTTCATTGCCCCCAGCAGCAGTATTCTGGTATTACAGTATGCAAACACAATAAAGTTAAAATACACTCCAGCGTTGTCATATGTTTTTCTAAGCTGCTCCTTAGAAGTTATAATTTGGGAATAACAACTGAACCCCTGTGCATTCAGCCACACTTCTAAATGTGAAGTAAAATCATTCTTGGCTACAGTTCTCTTACTTGCCATGAAGAAATTGTTATTATCATGTTCACTTTTTCTTTGCTGTTCAAGATCTTTTTCACATGCTATAAGTGTGATATACATAGTTGCTTGGGCATGAGACCACAAATCCAAAGGGCAGATTTTTATTCTTGCTCGGCCATTAAGATAAAAAAGATAGCTATTTCTTAAATTGTCGGTCCCCTTAATTCCATGTTGGGATCACAAAAAAAATTGGCAACAACAAAAGGTTTCTGAATGGCACCTATTTACACAAATCTGTTAGCAACAGTGTGCAGTGTTGACAGAAAATGCTTCATCTGTACTCCATAAAATGGGGAATCAGTCTGTTTAGCAAGCCTTCCGAATGCCGACAGATTGAACTATGTAACTCGATTTTTGTTCCTTGCTTTTAAATGTCATTTCCTGATTGGTTCTATCGCAAAAACCTGGAGAATGTTTAAAATCCACATTGAACTGGGTTATATGGCATTGTGGACTCAGATAGCCCAATCCAAAGCAGATATTGTGGGATTATCTGCCTTGATGTTCTGGGTTATATGGCTGTGTGGAAGCGCTCTGAGACTCAATGAGGGCCCTTCCAGACAGGCCCTATATCCCAGGATCTAATTCCAGGTTTTCTGTTTATCCCAGATTATCTGGCAGCGTGGACTCATATACTCCAGTTTAAAGTGGAAAACCTGGGATATAAGGCCTGTCTAGAAGGACCTTGAGATATTTATCGGAAAACTATATCAAAATGTGTTGCAAGAAAAACATTTTCCATGTTTTTATGATAGAACCAATTAGGAAATGACATGTATAATCCAGGAACAAAAATTGTGTTACATAGTAGAATCTGGATAATCCTGCAGGGTAGAACCAACCTACAAAACGGCTTGAGAGCACACAACAGCAAAACTAAGTACATCTTCTATACAGTCTGTTGTCGAAGGCTTTCATGGCTGGAATCACTGGGTTGCTGTGTTTTCCGGGCTGTATGACCATATTCCAGAAGCATCCTCTCCTGATGTTTCGCCTATAGCACACATACTCAGAGGTTGTGATGTCTGTTGGAAACTAGACAAGTGGGGTTTATATATCTGTGGAATGTCCAGGGTGGGAGAAAGAACTCTTGTCTGTTTGAGGCATGTGTGAAATTTGCAATTGGCCACCTTGTCTAGCATTGAATAGCTTTGCAGCTTCAAAGCCTGGCTGATTGCTACCTGGGGCTTCCTTTGTTGTGATGTGTTAGCTGGCCCTGTTTATTTCTTGTCTGGAATTCCCGTTTTTTTCAGTGTTGCTCTTTATTTATGGCCATACAACCCGGAAAACTCAAGACAACCCACTATACCAGGCATGGGCAAATTTCGGCCATACAAGTGTTTTGGACTTCAACTCCCAGAAATCCCAGTTAGCTTACCAGCTATTAGGAATTGTGGGAGTTGAAATCCAAAACACCCGGAGGGCTGAAATTTGCCCATGCCTGCACTATACAGTCTCTTATAAGGAGGGACGCGTTGATCAACCCTTTTCGTAAGAAGCACGAACTGGGGAAACAAACCCCTTCTGAGTATTCCTTGTGCGCCCTTCCTCCCTCCCTCCCTCCCTATGGGCGGGACTTAGGAGTGACACCTCCCCGAGCCCGCCCTCCGCCGGGGTGACGTCACGCGCCCTCCCCGCACGAGGAAGTGGAAAGGCAGCCCAGGCTCGGCGCGCGCGGAGGACTAGAGCGATGCGGCTCGCGACCGTCTTGCGGGGTTGGCGGGAGCACTTCGACTTCCGCGGCCTGGAGGTGGCCCGATGGTTCCCCGGACACATGGCCAAAGGCGCGTAGGGAGGAAGGAGGGAGGGGTTCAAAAGTGGGCACGTGAGCTGGCTTGAGGCTGTAACATTAGATGAAGGGCCTCACTACACTACACTTTGGGTTTAAAGAGTAGGTAAACGGCGCTTCATGCAGTCATGCCGGCCACATGACCTTCGAGATGTCTACGGACAACGCCGGCTCTTCGGCTTAGCAATAGAAATGAGCACCACATCCCAGAGTCGGGCACGACTGGACTTCATATCAGGGGAAAACATTTACCTTTACCTAAAGAGTGTGATCCCACTTTAAACCTTTGACTGCTTCCTCCTGCGGAATTCTGGGGCTTGTAGTTTAGGGGCGTGGCCTCTCAAATGCTCAGCCAGAAAAGCCCCACTCAAGTACAAGCCCCATAATTCTGCAGGAGGCCGCCACAGGGTTTAAAGTGGGATGATGGATAGGAATTATGTGTAACGGAGGGCCCTTTCAGATAGGCCCTATATCATTGGATCCCTGGGTTTCTGCCCAACTTACCTATCCCAACATGTCTCCCCTTACGAACCTTCCAGGAATTTATGATCATTGGGGAGGCCCTGCTCTCAATCATGCCTGCCTCATAGGCACGCTTGGTGGGGAGGAGCGACAGGGCCTTCTCAGTGGTGGCCCCTCAGCATGGAACTCTCTTCCTGGGGATATTAGATCAGCCCCCTCCCTCCTGACCTTTAGGAAAAGAGTAAAAACCTAACTGTTCGAGCAAGCTTTTGGAACCTCATTGTAATCAGATAAACTCGTTATTGTGAACGAATATGGAACGGCTTAACTAGGCAAATGGACATGGATTTAAACCTGGAAGTCATTGATTTTTATAGTTTGAATTTTTTATATGAATTTTATTATGTGATTTAACATGTTTTAAATGATGTATTTATGTTTGTTCAGCATCTAATTCTTGCCAGTCTGTATGCCGCCCTGAGTCACCTTAGGGCTGAAAAGGGCGAGATAAAAGTGTGATAAATAAATAAACTGGATCATACGAGTCCGCACTACCAGATAATCTGGGATAAACAGAAAAGCTGGGATCAGATCCTGGGATATATGGCCTTTCTGGAAGGGGCCTGTGTTGCTGTTAGTTTTCCAGGATGTAGGGCCATGTTAAAGTAGCATTCCCTCCTGACATTTCACCTGCATCTGTGGCAAGCGTCTTCAGATTGTGTATAGCTGTTATTGCACATAACTCTTTCTACTTGGTTTGGTTTTGCAGGGCTGAAAGACATGAAGAGCCGATTGCGTGCGGTGGATTGCATCCTGGAGGTGCACGATGCTCGCATATCCTTTTAGAGCGGACTATGTTGAAAGAGATCAGGTCTTTCTGTGAAGACATTTAACAATGTTAAATGCTCTTTTTAAAAAAACCTCCCCTGCATGTTTTGTGCTTCCTTTTAAGAAATGGGGAGTTGTGTCTTCAATATCTGCTGTAGTTTGGGAGACTGAAGCCTGATGTGTTACAGGTGTGCAAATAAGAGCATTAGAACACTACATAGCAGTGCTGCTGCTCCCCTTTCATTGTTTTTTTTTACATTTCTATCCCAGCGAAGATTATATTTATGTTTCAGTCTTGCTCAAAGTAGCTCATCTTGCACCCACAGCAAAAGGATCATCTCCCTTCCCCATTTTTATCTTCACAACACCACTGTGGTGTAAGTCCGTCTTAGGGCCCTTCCAGGCCCCTTCTACACAGCTGAATAAAATCCCACATTATCTGCTTTGAACTGGAATATATGGCAATGTGGACTCAGATAACCCAGTTCAAAGCAGATATGGGATTTTCTGCCTTCATATTCTGGATTATATGGCTGTGTGGAAGGGCCCCTTGACAGGTCTTATATCCCAGGATCTGATACCAGGTTTTCTGCTTTATAATGGATTATATGCGTCCTCACTGCCAGATTATCCAGTTTAAAGCAGAAAACCTGGGTTCAGATCCTGAAATATAAGACCTGTCTGGAAGGGCCTTAAGGGATATGAATGAATCGTTTATTGTACCAGCCATAGGCCATGACTTCAAATAATATACAACCATTAAAAGTACAATAAGCACTTTCCAATATAAATATTAAAACTTACTCTGTATACTGGTTCTTTAAAATTACAGTAGCAGTGACATGATAACAATGACAATGTTTGTTTTGTATAATCCCAAACTACCTCCATTTCTAGCCTCAGCTGTGGACTTTACTAAATTAGCTCAGATTTGTTTGGCCTGTGACTGGAAATGTGGCAACCTTTAATGTTATATTTTTGGAATCTGCTAAAAAGTTGCAGATAACTTCTGACTGTTGCCATACTGACCTTTCTTCCAAGAGGGCTCCCAGAAGATTGTTTGTAGAGTCATTATACATAGGACAATGTAACAAATAGTGTATTGCAGTGTTTCTCAACCTTCTTAATGCCGCGACCCCTTAATCCAGTTCCTCATGTTGTGGTGACCCCCAACTATAACATTATTTAAGTTGCTACTTCATAACTCTAATTTTGCTACTGTCATGAATCATAATGTCAGTATCTTATATGCAGGATGTGTTTTCATTGACTGGACCACATTTGGCACAAATAACCAATATGTCCACATTAGAATACTGGTGGGGTTGGGGGAGGATTGATTTTATTATTTGGGAGTTGTAGTTGCTGGGATTTATAGTTCACCTACAATCAAAGAGCATTCTGAACTCCACCAATGATGGAATTGAACCAAACTTGGCACACAGAACTCCCGTGACCAACAGAAAATACTGGAAGGATTTTGGTGGGCATTGACTTGAGTTTTGGAGTTGTAGTTTGCCTACATCCAGAGAGCACTGTGGACTCAAACAATGATGGATCTGGACTAAACTTGGCACAAATACTCAATATGCCCAAATACGATCATTGGTGGGGATTGGGGGAAATAGACCTTGACATTTGGGAGTTGTATTTGCCTGGGATATATAACTTACCAACAATCAAAGAGCATTCTGAACTCCACCAATGATAGGATTGAACCACACTTGGCACACAGAACTCCCATGACCAACAGAAAATACTGGAAGAGTTTGGTGGGCATTGACCTTGAGTTTTGGAGTTGTAGTTCACCTACATCCAGAGAGCACTGTGGACTCAAACAATGATAGATCTGGACCAAACTTGGCACAAAAATCCCATATGCCTAAAAGGGACTCGTTGGCACAAGCCTCCCTGCAGTCTTGCATGCTCTCCCACTCCTGCACATGCGCACCACACTGCCATGTGCCGAGCACGCCTGCTCTCCCCTCCTCTGCTTGGAGTCTCAGAAAGAGCCCTCCCCTTGGCTGGCCAATCACAGCAGAGGAGAGCATTTGGTGGGAGGATTCACTGTCAGTTTCCAAAAAGGAAGAGAAGGACAGGTGGAGAGATCAGTCTTCTCTGCCAAAGGGATTCCCAAGCCCCCCCCCCCCCGACCCACAAATACAAAGTCATTGGGCATGAGGGATCCCTCTGTTTATCTTCCCTCTAGCCAGCCTGCTGGCATAGTTTGGAAGTGCAGGGCCATAAATGCTTTTATACGGGTTACATACAGACTTTAAGTCAGGGGTCCTCAAACTTTTTAAACAGAGGGCCACGTTACAGTCCTTCAAACTGTTGGAGGGCTGGATTATAATTTGAAAAAAAATGAATGAATTCCTATGCACACTGCACATATCTTATTTGTAGTGCAAAAAAAACCCACTTAAAACAATACAATAATTAAAATGAAGAACAATTTTAACAAATATAAACTTATTAGTATTTCAATGGGAAGTGTGGGCTGCTTTTGGCTGATGTTATAGAATTGTTGAGAGACTTATATGGAAAAAAATAGACTCATAGAGTCATAGTCATAGAACTTGGAGGGCCGTATCCGACCCTTGCCTTAGTTTGAGGACCCCTGGTTTAATTCTTTGAGACAATATTAATCATTTTTAGTAGAGGGTACCAAGTAGTGGAAACTCTGCTGTTTACTGGTCCGTAGGTTGTCAGATGCATCCATTTCAAAGATTTTATCTGTAATCACCTTCTTGTCCAACTACATTAGGGTTGTTGTTATTGACCCACCAAATTGTGATGGAGTAGGGCCAACCAGTATTGAGCCCAACCTCCCCACTTATATTGCTCCATCAAGCATTGCTTTGTTATACTCTCATCCTCCATTTCTAGAAGTTTCTTTCCATATGAGATGTTAACCTTATGCATTCTGGCCTTAAGTGAGGGAAGTGAGGGTAACTTTGTGTTTTGGAAGCCAGTGAAGATGACTGTTTTGCTGTTATACTGTGAGAGAGTGCAGGTGGAGACCACTTGTATAGAGACATAATATTGACATCGTATTTTTAACTCAAAAAATCCAGTGACCCTTTGATAAGAGTTTAGGTTCTTTCTGAATTTCACCCAGTCCAGTTTGAAATTTCATCTTATGCTGCAAATTTCTGCTCCCTGCAGTTCTTCCAAATGTATGCCAGGCTGTTGCTGTTCCTCTTGACTCTCCTTTGGCTCCTTAGCGGACCTACATCCCATTCTCTGGCAGGAACCCACTATTGTACGAAGCCCTGGGAATCCGTCCACATTTGTTGGTGTTGAACAAAATGGACCTAGCAGATCTCACCCACAAACCAGTAAGACCTATGTTTTATCTCCCCATATTTGCCACTTCAGTGGTTTGTAGACTAATCCACAGTGTGAGAAACACACTGTACAAATATCCCAACATTTCTCTTCTGGAAGATAGAAACACAGGCCCCTTTTACACTGCCATATAAAATCCAGATGGTCTGCTTTGAACTGGATTATATGGCAGTGTAGACTCCTATAATTCAAATCAGAAAATGTGGATTGATCATCTGGATAATATGGCAGTGTGGAAGAGACCAGAATCACCAAGGTATATTCAATCTTAGGGGGTAGTATACAGCTTTATGTATGTTCTCACAGTATATTTACTCATGTAATTAAATACAGGTTTGTTTGTTTTTTCAGCTATTCCCATGATAGGGATCATAGTACTGTGAAGAGAAAACATTAAATAACATGTTTTGGGGGCATTTTAAAAAAATCTAAAACTACTCATAAAAACATCAAGGAGTTAAAAAAGCAATGCTTTCTGAATGTTTCAGTTCTCCCCCATCTTTGCTAGTGCTATATTAGCTTCACTACAGGCCCTTCCACACAGCCATATAACTAGACATGAATATCTCACAACTATGAATATAACACAACTAGAATATCAAGACAGAAAATCCCACACTATCTACTTTGAACTGAGTTATCTGAGTCCATACTGCCCTATCTCTCACTTCAAAGCAGATAATGTGGGATTTTATTCGGCTGTGTGGAAGAGCCCCAAAAGCCAGTTCATTTCCAGGTCCAGTTCAGCTTTGTAGCTTTGGCCTTTAATGGCATCAATAGGACCAGGGTGTGTAAAGCTTCTTAAGACTTTATTGAAGTGAAACACACAATAGAAATCAAATAAATACATATTTTCCACATGCTTTTTTATACTATACTTATTCTATACTTAGAAATTCTGCTAATTAGAGCAAGAGAAAGAGCCTTCATCAAGTTTCAGTGGTATAGACTTACCTGGTCTCTCAGTGGCCTTATTTTAAGCAAGTATTATTTTAGTTAACCATCAAGATCTCTTAAAATCAACCCCTTTTTATGTGCATGTTTTACTGTTTTATACCCATCCTTTATTGGAATAAAAATGGTTTCATTCCAGGACAGTCTTGCAGCTTACCTACCATGATTCCTCGATATGGTTTTTTTGTTTGTGTCAGTAACAACTTCAGAAACTACAAGTCACTTCTGGTGTGAGAGAATTGGCCGTCTGCAAAGATGTTGCCCAGGGGATGCCTGAATGTTTTGATGTTTTACCAGCCTTGTGGGAGGCTTCTCTCATGTCCCCACATGGGGAGCTAGAGCTGACAGAGGGAGCTCAACCCGCTCTCCCTGGATTCAAACTGTTAACTTGTCAGCAGTCCTGCCATAAAACAGTTTAACCCATTGCGCCACCAGGGGCTCAATGTTTTATGAAGCACACCACCTTCCAGATTGTGAAAAGTTGTATGCAAATTCATTTGTGGAGCATCCTTGTATCCTCATATCAAAACAAATAGAATATGGAGATGAGGATTTTGGAAATCATAATGTGAATCACCGAAGTTTCTTCATTCCCTCTAATGTTATAAATCTCTCTTTGATATGCCTTTTAGGAGGTTCTAAAACGTTTGGAACAGCAAGGTTTTAGACACGTTGTCTTCACAGATTGCCTGAAAGATGAAAATGTCATGAAGGTACTAACTGCATTTTTATATGAAAATTGTCTCCTGCAAAATAGCTTAGCTCTGTATCTCAGATCCAGGTTTCCTACATATGTTTTCAAGGTGGCTGAAACAGTGGGATCTGGTGCACAGTTTTTGTCATTGGTTGTGCTCATATCTATTGGCATGATAAAGAAGAACAGGGCAGCAACTTCATTGTTCACTTAGGCTAGATCTACACTGCCCTATATCCCAGAATCTTATCCCAGATTATTTGCTTTGAACTGGATTATATGAATCTACACTGTCAGGTAATCCGGGATAAACAGATAACCTGAGATTGGATCCTGGGATATAGGACAGTGTAGATCAAGCTTTAAAGGCAAGAGTAATTTCACTTGTTCTTCCACTTAAATTATTCTTATATCTCCTTGCAGATTGTTCCCCTTGTCACTGAACTCATAAGCAACAACCAACGTTATCAGAGGTCTGAGGTTAGTTCTGTTGTATAGCTGTTGCTTCTGGTTATGAGACAGAAGAGACCTATGATGTTGACCAATATTTCTGTTTAGCATGGGGATGATCTCTTTCTGTTTGGTTCCAGAATGTGGAGAGTTGCATCATGGTCATTGGTGTGCCAAATGTCGGGAAATCATCAGTCATCAATTCAGTGAGAAGACGGCACCTCAAAAAAGGTTAGTTTTTTTGCTACTCGATTTATAGTTTTTATAAAAATCTAAGTTTAAGGTAGTATTTGCCTGTACAAAAATAAACAAGATATATTGAACATTGCACAAATATCTGCAGTTAGGGTATTCTGTCAATTTACCCACCCGTCACTTTATTTATATTCTGCCTGTTTCCAGACAGGGACTCAAATGGCTTACAAAATTACAGAGAACAGAATAAAACACATATAGTTTTTTTTAAAAAAATGCAAAATAAAAAACAAACAGAATTAATTAACTATGAAAACCAATTAAAAATAACTTAAAAACAGTACAGTACCAGAAAAGTCATTTTTGTTGAAATCAGTTTTCAGAAACCTGCTAGGAAAAAAAGGATCTTAACCTGTTGCCAAAAGAAAAACAAAGAAAGAGCAATAGTAACTTCATTAAGGAGGTAATTTCAAAGGGTGGGAGCAGCCACAGACAGTGCATTTTTCTGTATTTGCACCAACTGTACCTGTGGAATAGAGTGGCAGTGGTATAGAAAAAATGGAACCCATCCCACCAGGTTTCAGTTATGCCTAATATATTACAATTCCTTTGCTGTATTAGGAGGTCAAGTTCATCTTGTTTGTTTCCCATGCTGTGTCCATTAATGTAGAGACATCAGAGATCATTGATTATCTCCCTTACTGCTCATTTAAGGTTTTCCCTCTTCCCAATTCTTTCCTTCTTATACTTCTTGCCCAGTTTTCTCTATTAGTTGTCCCTACCTTTAAGAATATATTCTCCTTCCTCCACAATTATTTAGAGTGTTGTTGCTTGAAATCAGCACCTTCCATGTAGCTCAAAATGAGAAGCCAAGACATTTGGTACAAAGTCAGTGACAGTTCTCTAAAATTCACGCATGTAGACATATAGTCTCACCACCATGATTTGCACTAGCCATAATTTCCAAACAGTCTTGAATTATGGCCGTGTGTAGAATGGATTATAGCAAGTCTAACTGAGAGATAAATAAGATATGAACCATTTTCAAATCTTCCTTCTACAACAGTGGTTCTCAACCTGTGGGTCCCCAGGTGTTTTGGCCTACAACTCCCAGAAATACCAGCTGGTTTATCAGCTGTTAAGATTTCTGGGAGTTGAAGGCCAAAATAATTGGGGACCTACAGGTTGACAACCACTGTTCTAGAGGGAGAGATGCAACTGGTGCACCAACAAAAGCTATGCAAAGCAATTTCTACCCCTACTCATCGCATTATGTTAATGACAAACTGGGCATGGGTTGCTTTGTACTAGTTAGTGATCTTTTGGAGCATGTTTTGTTTGATATTGTTGGAAAAGGCAGGGAGCTTTTTTACATTCATTGTTGCTTGGGGAAAAAATTATGGGGCTGATTTCTGACCTGAGAAGATAATGTCCGGTAAATGTGTTAAGATTATCTGGGTGGTTATATATAACTGTTTTCTCTTTCTTTCCACCACAAAGGAAAGGCTTCAGTGGTTGGTGGGACACCAGGTATTACCAGAGCTGTTCTCACCAAAATCCAGGTAAAGTGGTGGTCATGCACAAAATGTGAGATGTTTCTGGAATCCACAGTACAATTTCTTCTTTAACTTCCATTAGTATTGATTCAAATATTTTTTGTTTTGTTTTCTGTTCTTTTGCCTGTGTTTCTACAATATATTGAAACACCCTGGACAGTGGAAACATAGGCAGGAATTTTGTGCTCCACATGGCATGGCACACATTGTGGAAGGTGAAGTACTGTGGGTAATATATGATGTATATAACACCACAAGCAGGAAGAGGGGGTATCTCTGCTCACAAAAGCTAGGTCCTAAATTATAATAGATGTGATATCACATGGATCTTGCTTGGAAGATAGTTGCAGTTAGGATGCAATCATGAGGGAGGGAATCGTATCCACTAAGCGAATCCTCGTGATGAGAAATATGTAAAGGGCCTTCACTGAAGACTTCTGTTGCTAGACATTTTCAATTCGGGATAGGTAATCATTTAACTAAGTCCAATTCCAGTCAGTTAATGGTCTTTATAGGTACAATATTTTCTTTGGCTATGCATGTCTTCTTAGAAGTAAAGGATAGTAAGCACAGTTCAGTGCTGTGAATTCCTGTGCAGATGCAAGAAAGACTATGGACAATAGTGGCTGTAATTTATAAAAATCTAAAGAAATTTATCTTTCCACCCTTTGCATTCACTATTATTATTATTATTATTTTATTATTAAACTTTATTTGTACCCCGCTAGCATCTCCCGAAGGATTTGATGCGGCTTACACAGGCCGAGGCCTCAACACACAACACAACAATACAATCAAACAATTAAAACAGAATAAAGCAAAATAAACAACAGGCACAATACACTAAACACAATAAAACTGGGCCGGGCCAGAGTAATGGGTACAAGAATTAAAAGTGCTGATGTGACAGGAGGTGTATATGAGGCTTCTAGGGCAAGTGCGATGTGCGATGTGCAGCAATCATTGGTTCTGGTAAAGTGCTTATGGGACTTGGTAGTGGAGATTTCCTAATCTGGGAAGGCGCATCGGAAAAGCCAGGTCTTCAAGTTCTTTCTGAAGACAGCCAATGTAGGGGCCTGTCTAAGGTCTTTGGGGAGGGTGTTCCAGAGTCGGGGGGCCACCACGGAAAAGGCCCTGTCCCGCGTCCCCACCAAGCGCGCTTGCGACGCCGGTGGGATCACGAGCAGGGCCTCTCCAGATGACCGAAGAGAACGTGTGGGTTCGTAGATGGAACTATTAAAATCATGCCATCCTTAATCTGGGGCCGTTCCAAGATTGATGAAATCTTTCTTAGTTCGCACATCTGTGTCCTATTCTCATTCCAGAATGTTTGTAGTTAATTCCAAATTGTAATTTCATATCTCCACAATAGTCTCAGAGTTTTGTCTCACAACACTGTGAGAGAGAAGGCGAATTGCAGAATGTTTTAGGCCAGAATGTAATCTCCCTGATCTTTGAATGGATTCAAGGGATGCCATTTTCCATTTCTGATTAATTTTGTATGGAGTGGGAAATGGACAGATAAATCTTCAAAGAGTTGTATGTATTCCCACCCTACTCTGTGCATTAGGGGCAAACTACTGTCATTTTTCGGTGATATCAAATTGGTAACACCTCTTTCCATAATGTTGTGTGTCAGTTCTAGACATTGTAAGAATTGATTCTGAACTCTTTTTGTTTCAGGTCTGTGACCGACCCCTTATATTCTTATTGGATACTCCTGGGGTACTGTCTCCTCAGATTGAGTCTATTGAGACTGGGCTAAAACTAGCACTTTGTGGTGAGAAGACTCTGTTCACATATGCTGCTGAGGGTGCAATCTTCTGGGACTCTCCCAAATCACTGTTTGGCTCAGTTTTGGTACTATAAATGATTTATACTGCTTGTGATTGTTTTATGGCAGGAGCCCATTGGGGACCTTTTCGACACAGACAAGCCCATCCTGTAGCCTCTCTGCCAAGTAACTTTGTCAGGAAGGAGGAAATAACTCTATATTTTGCTTGCTCCTAATGCAATGGCTATTTTTTCCACCCAGGAGCAATTAAGGATCATCTAGTAGGTGAGGAGATTATTGCTGATTATCTGCTTTACACACTGAACCATCAGAAGCAATTCAGGTGAGATAATGCTTTGGTTCTGGGTTGGGGCTAGATTTTGTGTCCAAAGTGGGAAATCGCCATGACTTTTCAACCCTCCTGCCACCCATTTTTACCCTGCTATGCAGTTATGTAGAACACTATGGACTTCCCGATCCATGTGATAATGTGGAGATGGTACTCAAGAGTATTGCGCTGCACCTTGGCAAGACCCAGCGAGTCAAGGTACTGACTGGCACAGGTA